GCCACTAAGTTCACTATATGGTCGCCACTAAGTTCACTATATGGTCGCCCATAAGTTCACTATATGGTCGCCACTAAGTTCAGTATATGGTCGCCACTAAGTTCACTATATGGTCGCCACTAAGTTCCCTATATGGTCGCCACTAAGTTCACTATATGGTCGCCACTAAGTTCACTATATGGTCGTTTACTAAGTTCACTATATGGTCGCCACTAAGTTCACTATATGGTCGCCACTAAGTTCCCTATATGGTCGCCACTAAGTTCACTATATGGTCGCCACTAAGTTCACTATATGGTCGCCACTAAGTTCACTATATGGTCGTTACTAAGTTCACTATATGGTCGCCACTAAGTTCACTATATGGTCGCCACTAAGTTCACTATATGGTCGCCACTAAGTTCACTATATGGTCGTTACTAAGTTCACTATATGGTCGCCACTAAGTTCCCTATATGGTCGCCACTAAGTTCACTATATGGTCGCCACTAAGTTCACTATATGGTCGCCACTAAGTTCACTATATGGTCGCCACTAAGTTCACTATATGGTCGCCACTAAGTTCACTATATGGTCGCCACTAAGTTCACTATATGGTCGCCACTAAGTTCACTATATGGTCGTTACTAAGTTCACTATATGGTCACCACTAAGTTCACTATATGGTCGCCACTAAGTTCACTATATGGTCGCCACTAAGTTCACTATATGGTCGCCACTAAGTTCACTATATGGTCGCCACTAAGTTCACTATATGGTCGCCACTAAGTTCACTATATGGTCGCCACTAAGTTCACTATATGGTCGCCACTAAGTTCACTATATGGTCGTTACTAAGTTCACTATATGGTCACCACTAAGTTCACTATATGGTCGCCACTAAGTTCACTATATGGTCGCCACTAAGTTCCCTATATGGTCGCCACTAAGTTCACTATATGGTCGTTACTAAGTTCACTATATGGTCGCCACTAAGTTCACTATATGGTCGTTACTAAGTTCACTATATGGTCGTTACTAAGTTCACTATATTGTCGCCACTAAGTTCACTATATGGTCGCCACTAAGTTCACTATATGGTCGCCACTAAGTTCCCTATATGGTCGCCACTAAGTTCACTATATGGTCGTTACTAAGTTCACTATATGGTCGCCACTAAGTTCACTATATGGTCGCCACTAAGTTCACTATATGGCCGCCACTAAGTTCCCTATATGGTCGCCACTAAGTTCACTATATGGTCGTTACTAAGTTCACTATATGGTCGCCACTAAGTTCACTATATGGTCGCCACTAAGTTCACTATATGGTCGCCACTAAGTTCCCTATATGGTCACCACTAAGTTCACTATATGGTCGCCACTAAGTTCACTATATGGTCGTTACTAAGTTCACTATATGGTCGCCACTAAGTTCACTATATGGTCGCCACTAAGTTCACTATATGGTCGCCACTAAGTTCCTATATGGTCGCCACTAAGTTCCCTATATGGTCGCCACTAAGTTCACTATATGGTCGCCACTAAGTTCACTATATGGTCGCCACTAAGTTCACTATATGGTCGCCACTAAGTTCCCTATATGGTCGCCACTAAGTTCACTATATGTTCGCCACTATGTTCACTATATGTTCGCCACTAAGTTCACTATATGGTCGCCACTAAGTTCACTATATGGTCGCCACTAAGTTCACTATAAAGTCGCCACTAAGTTCACTATATGGTCGCCACTAAGTTCACTATATGCTAGCCACTAAGTTCACTATATGGTCGCCACTAAGTTCACTATATGGTCGTTACTAAGTTCACTATATGGTCGCCACTAAGTTCACTATATGGTCGCCACTAAGTTCACTATATGGTCGTTACTAATTTCCCTATATGGTCGCCACTAAGTTCACTATATGGTCGCCACTAAGTTCCCTATATGGTCGCCACTAAGTTCACTATATGGTCGCCACTAAGTTCACTATATGGTCGTTACTAAGTTCCCTATATGGTCGCCACTAAGTTCACTATATGGTCGTTACTAAGTTCCCTATATGGTCGCCACTAAGTTCACTATATGGTCGCCACTAAGTTCCCTATATGGTCGCCACTAAGTTCACTATATGGTCGTTACTAAGTTCCTATATGGTCGCCACTAAGTTCACTATATGGTCGCCACTAAGTTCCCTATATGGTCGCCACTAAGTTCACTATATGGTCGTTACTAAGTTCCCTATATGGTCGCCACTAAGTTCACTATATGGTCGCCACTAAGTTCCCTATATGGTCGCCACTAAGTTCACTATATGGTCGCCACTAAGTTCACTATATGGTCGCCACTAAGTTCACTATATGGTCGCCACTAAGTTCAGTATATGGTCGCCACTAAGTTCACTATATGGTCGCCACTAAGTTCCCTATATGGTCGCCACTAAGTTCACTATATGGTCGCCACTAAGTTCACTATATGGTCGTTACTAAGTTCACTATATGGTCGCCACTAAGTTCACTATATGGTCGCCACTAAGTTCCCTATATGGTCGCCACTAAGTTCACTATATGGTCGCCACTAAGTTCACTATATGGTCGCCACTAAGTTCACTATATGGTCGTTACTAAGTTCACTATATGGTCGCCACTAAGTTCACTATATGGTCGCCACTAAGTTCACTATATGGTCGTTACTAAGTTCACTATATGGTCGCCACTAAGTTCCCTATATGGTCGCCACTAAGTTCACTATATGGTCGTTACTAAGTTCACTATATGGTCGCCACTAAGTTCACTATATGGTCGCCACTAAGTTCACTATATGGTCGCCACTAAGTTCACTATATGGTCGCCACTAAGTTCACTATATGGTCGCCACTAAGTTCACTATATGGTCGCCACTAAGTTCACTATGTGGTCGCCACTAAGTTCACTATATGGTCGCCACTAAGTTCACTATATGGTCGCCACTAAGTTCACTATATGGTCGCCACTAAGTTCACTATATGGTCGCCACTAAGTTCACTATATGGTCGTTACTAAGTTCACTATATGGTCACCACTAAGTTCACTATATGGTCGCCACTAAGTTCACTATATGGTCGCCACTAAGTTCCCTATATGGTCGCCACTAAGTTCACTATATGGTCGTTACTAAGTTCACTATATTGTCGCCACTAAGTTCACTATATGGTCGTTACTAAGTTCACTATATGGTCGTTACTAAGTTCACTATATGGTCGCCACTAAGTTCACTATATGGTCGCCACTAAGTTCACTATATTGTCGCCACTAAGTTCCCTATATGGTCGCCACTAAGTTCACTATATGGTCGTTACTAAGTTCACTATATGGTCGCCACTAAGTTCACTATATGGTCGCCACTAAGTTCACTATATGGTCGCCACTAAGTTCCCTATATGGTCGCCACTAAGTTCACTATATGGTCGTTACTAAGTTCACTATATGGTCGCCACTAAGTTCACTATATGGTCGCCACTAAGTTCACTATATGGTCGCCACTAAGTTCCCTATATGGTCGCCACTAAGTTCACTATATGGTCGCCACTAAGTTCACTATATGGTCGTTACTAAGTTCACTATATGGTCGCCACTAAGTTCACTATATGGTCGCCACTAAGTTCACTATATGGTCGCCACTAAGTTCCCTATATGGTCGCCACTAAGTTCCCTATATGGTCGCCACTAAGTTCACTATATGGTCGCCACTAAGTTCACTATATGGTCGCCACTAAGTTCACTATATGGTCGCCACTAAGTTCCCTATATGGTCGCCACTAAGTTCACTATATGTTCGCCACTATGTTCACTATATGTTCGCCACTAAGTTCACTATATGGTCGCCACTAAGTTCACTATATGGTCGCCACTAAGTTCACTATAAAGTCGCCACTAAGTTCACTATATGGTCGCCACTAAGTTCACTATATGCTAGCCACTAAGTTCACTATATGGTCGCCACTAAGTTCACTATATGGTCGTTACTAAGTTCACTATATGGTCGCCACTAAGTTCACTATATGGTCGCCACTAAGTTCACTATAAAGTCGCCACTAAGTTCACTATATGGTCGCCACTAAGTTCACTATATGCTAGCCACTAAGTTCACTATATGGTCCCCACTAAGTTCACTATATGGTCGCCACTAAGTTCACTATATGGTCGTTACTAAGTTCACTATATGGTCGCCACTAAGTTCACTATATGGTCGTTACTAAGTTCACTATATGGTCGTTACTAAGTTCACTATATGGTCGTTACTAAGTTCACTATATGGTCGTTACTAAGTTCACTATATGGTCACCACTAAGTTCACTATATGGTCGCCACTAAGTTCACTATATGGTCGTTACTAAGTTCACTATATGGTCGCCACTAAGTTCACTATATGGTCGTTACTAAGTTCACTATATGGTCGCCAGTAAGTTCACTATATGGTCGCCACTAAGTTCCCTATATGGTCGCCACTAAGTTCACTATATGGTCGTTACTAAGTTCACTATATGGTCGCCACTAAGTTGGTACACAATATACCAACACTGTGGTAATTTCCACACACACACACAACACAAAAATGGACTAGGTTCCGGAGGTTGGAGTGGGAGGCTGGCACCAGTAAATAGGGCGGTGCCTGATGCAGGGAAGGCGAAAATTGGCTTTCCAATTCGGGAAACAAATTGGCGAGTGCCATTGTTGTGGCGATATTGGCGAAGGAGAGCAACTTTGTGTCAGCCGGGATTTGTGGGACTTGTGTTGCATTTTGTGTTGTATCCCCAGTAATTTCTCTTGCACTCTAGCCGAGAATTATATATATATATATATATATATATATATATATATATATATATATATATATATATATATATATATGTCGTGCCGAATAGGCAGAAATATATATATATATATATATATATATATATATATATATATATATATATATATATATATATATATATATATATATACATATATACGAATCGTAATTCGTTTTTCTTGTTTCAGGGGGATGTCTGAACTACGGCCACTCTTGTCTTGGAGGTGAGTGCTGAAATTCAATCTGTTAGATGCTTACAGTCAGTCTGAAATGCATTTAAATGATAATAATAATAATAATAATAATAATAATACTAATAATATTAATAATAATAATAATAATAATAATAATAATAATAATAATAATAATAATAATAATAATAATAATAATAAAAATAAGAATATTATTATTATTATTATTATTATTATTATTATTATTATTATTATTATTATTATTATTATTATTATTAATAATAGCAGCAGCAGCAGTAGTAGTAGTAGTAATAGTAGTAGTCATAATAATATTATTAATAATAATAATAATACCAGCCCCCGGAGGTCTGGTCTGGCAGGAGACAGTTCAGATCTGATCACAGGAAACCTGAACAATACTCGTTTAAACTGTTGAATATCGTTTACCTGTAGTAATTAAACTGAAATGTTGATTAGCTAGTAGTTAAGCAGACATGTGAAGCAAATTAGCTAATTACCACGGTGACGTGAGGGTTATTTATTGTAACGATGAAGGTTCGGTATTCTCTCTCGCATTAATTTCTGATGTAAGACAAATGTTAAGTGTTCCAGTGATATATTCTCTGAGAGGTTCGTGTCTCTGAGAGGTTAATGCCTCTGAGAGGTTCGTGTCTCTGAGAGGTTCGTGTCTCTGAGAGGTTCGTGTCTCTGAGGGGTTCGTGTCTCTGAGAGGTTCGTGTCTCTGAGAGGTTCGTGTCTTTGAGAGGTTCGTGTCTCTGAGAGGTTCGTGTCTCTGAGAGGTTCGTGTCTCTGAGAGGTTCGTGTCTCTGAGAGGTTCGTGTCTCTGAGAGATGCATGTCTCTGAGAGGTGCATGTCTCTGAGAGGTGCATGTCTCTGAGAGATGCATGTCTCTGAGAGGTGCATGTCTCTGAGAGGTGCATGTCTCTAAGAGGTGCATGTCTCTAAGAGGTGCATGTCTCTCGCTATACATACACTTATATGTATCTCTCACTGTATATACACCGGCATATGTATCTCACAGTATATACGCGCCGAGATGTACGTATCTGACAGTGTATATACTCTGAGAGGAGGCCAGCTTGGGATTTCCTCAAGAGTCTATCTGAGTGTTGATAGTGCACTGGACTGTGTCCACACTATAGAGTCCATCTCAGCACGAGGACGGTTTCTGAGCACTCAGTAATAAGTGAACAACTTAATATATAGGTTTAGCTTCATAGACAAAGGGTTCAAGTACATTCACTGCGTCTCTGATTCTCTTATCGGTATCCAAACACTACATTGTGTCCACCTAGAGTAGTCGGTACCTCACACATATGCAGTGTCTGCGTGTGTAAGGGAATAAGAACAATTATCATGCGTAGAAACATATGTGGAAATTACCTAGAATACTTGGAGGGGGGTGTTCCGGGGGTCAACGTCCCCTCGACCCTGCCCATGACCAGGCCTCGTGATGGATAAGGCCCTGATCAACCAGGCTGTTACTGCTGGCAGCATGTAAACCAACGAGCATGCCTAAGCGGGATTACCAATTGATCCCTGGCTGTCTTCAAGAAGGTGCTGGACAGTTACCTAAAGTCAGTACCTGACCACTCTCAGTGTATATACACTGAGAGGTGTGTGTATCTCGGTGTATATACATTGAGAGTATACCTCAATCCCTGTTTTAGATTTTAAAGTATTCTTAAAATTTCACTATTGATAAATTATGTAGACTGCAGCTGGGAATAGTTAAAGTTACTGACTTATTTCCAATTACCTAAATATCTGTGTCCTTCAGCACATGGGAAGAGAGCCTCAGCACCACCACACCGCCCACTAGTACCACGCCCACTCCTGGATATCCTGGACGCCCTCACCACGCCCACACGCACTAACAATTTGTACGCCCACACCTCCGACAACTCTATGAGGGAACCAAGAACTAGGTGAGTATCCCGTCGATATTGATGCATTCTCGTTTTCTATAATTATTACGATGATATTTAATTTCACAATTTTAGTAAGGTCCTATGTATCATTCTTGTACGGCATTATGTTACAGCCGGTCACATACTCAGTTGAGGTACTTCCTGTAAGGTTTTCATTAATAACTTGAGAATGCTTCATCCGATCGGCTTCAAATTTTCAAAGCTAGTGAACTATGACGAGGGTAAGATTCATGAAAATTTTGGGATGGCCAGGTCCTATTTTGGCACTTTTATAAAGACATTTTTTATTTTGATTTCCCATGTGATAACTTGAGAATGCTTCATCTGATCGCCTTCAAACTTTCACCACTGGTGTAATCTACTTAGAGGAAGCCTTCACTCTGTTATTGCTATGAGTGGGTGATTTTTTTTATTAAGTAGCGGGTTGTCAAAAATAGAGAATAAAAATACGTTTAGAGTACATCACTGTCATACTAAGGATGTATTAACATATTTATCAGGTCATTTTCACTGGTACATATTAACACACCCATATATGTTGCAGTTTTATAACTGTAGTGTAGGCACGTCTCTGGTAAGACAGTGATGGAGTGAATGATGAAAGTTTTTCTTCTTTTTGGGGTCACCCTGCCTTGGTGGGAGACGGCCGCTGTGTTAATAAAAATATTAATAAAAAATCGTGATACAAAGTATATACACCAAGAGATGTGTACCTATAAGTGTATATATATATTGTGAGGTGCATGTCTCTCGGTGTACACTACGAGGTGTGTTTCTCAGTGTATATACACTGAGCAGCGTATGTTTCTCAGTGTATATATAATGAGAGACATAAATATTAAAGTATTCTTGGCTGGTGGTGTACAGGTGACATGCAGCCTTAATGACCCTCGTGTAGTAGATAGACTTCAAACCCCCCAAAAAACGACTAATCAACCAACTATTTATGAACAAGAACATCTTTCTCACTCTCTCTCTCTTCCACCTCACACATATTTCTCTTTTCATAACTTTAAAAGCTCAGACAGACACTGTATTCTCGATATTTGTCCTCCTCCTCGTTTGGATTTTCTTCTTCACTCCACTGCCGGGGCCACAAACCACTATGATAATGGTGAAGACAAGAAGTGGCGATCAATCGCTCATCTGCACCTCTTGTCTTGCTGGTAGAGACACTCGTAAGCGATGGCACGCGGGTTAGGTATCCGGGTGGGGCGGAGCGTGTGGGTAGGTTTCCTGGCACCTGCTGCCGCTGTTTACTTAGCAGGAAGTAGGTACCTGAGGACCTCAGTGGAAATAGAAACAATGCTTTTGGGGTTATGGTGGGGATAATAATAATAACAATAATAATAACAATAATAATATTAATAATAATAATAATAATAATAATAATAATAATAATAATAATAATAATAATAATAATAATAATAATTAATACTACTGCTACTACTACTACTACTACTTATTATTATTATTATTATTATTATTATTATTATTATTATTATTATTATTATTATTATTATTATTATTATTATTATTATTATTATTTATTATTATTATTTACACCTCTAACAATTACAGAATACAACATACTGTATTAACCCAGCCATTAATACATCAATTACAAGATCATTTCACTACTACAGCAGAGCCAGCAAATCGTCTACAAAAAAAAAATACATAAATTTTCGAGTCTGACGATTAAAATTGTCAGTGAAAAGAAAATATAAAATCAGAGTTCAATGTTGAGTTAGAAAATAATAGTCACCCCGAGACGAAAGTCTCCTCCGAGGGATGACTGACGTAATATTTAAAGGCTTCTTGACCTTATTCAGCTTTTTAATCTTATCGTCTTTTAAGGAGAAATGGAAGGAGTAAAACCTGACTCAGACTTTTATTGATCTACGTCATATAGTTAATGGGGTTTAAAGTCTATCTACTACACGAGGATCATTAAGGCTGGTTGGTTGGTTAATGGGGTTTAAAGTCTATCTACTACACGAGGATCATTAAGGCTGGTTGGTTGGTTAATGGGGTTTAAAGTCTATCTACTACACGAGGGTCATTAAGGCTGGTTGGTTGGTTAATGGGGTTTAAAGTCTATCTACTACACGAGGGTCATTAAGGCTGGTTGGTTGGTTAATGGGGTTTAAAGTCTATCTACTGCACGAGGGTCATTAAGGCTGGTTGGTAGGTTAATGGGGTTTAAAGTCTATCTACTACACTAGGGTCATTAAGGCTGGTTGGTTGGTTAATGGGGTTTAAAGTCTATCTACTACACGAGGGTCATTAAGACTGGTTGGTTGGTTAATGGGGTTTAAAGTCTATCTACTACCACGAGGGTCATTAAGGCTGTTGGATGGTTAATGGGGTTTAAAGTCTATCTACTACACGAGGGTCATTAAGGCTGGTTGGTTGGTTAATGGGGTTTAAAGTCTATCTACTACACGAGGGTCATTAAGGCTGGTTGGTTGGTTAATGGGGTTTAAAAGTCTATCTACTACACGAGGGTCATTAAGGCTGGTTGGTAGGTTAATGGGGTTTAAAGTCTATCTACTACACTAGGGTCATTAAGGCTGGTTGGTTGGTTAATGGGGTTTAAAGTCTATCTACTACACGAGGGTCATTAAGGCTGGTTGGTAGGTTAATGGGGTTTAAAGTCTATCTACTACACTAGGGTCATTAAGGCTGGTTGGTTGGTTAATGGGGTTTAAAGTCTATCTACTACACAAGGGTCATTAAGACTGGTTGGTTGGTTAATGGGGTTTAAAGTCTATCTACTACACGAGGGTCATTAAGACTGGTTGGTTGGTTAATGGAGTTTAAAGTCTATCTACTACACGAGGGTCATTAAGACTGGTTGGTTGGTTAATGGGGTTTAAAGTCTGTCTACTACACGAGGGTCATTAAGACTGGTTGGTAGGTTAATGGGTTTAAAGTCTGTCTACTACACGAGGGTCATTAAGACTGGTTGGTAGGTTAATGGGGTTTAAAGTCTGTCTACTACACGAGGGTCATTAAGACTGGTTGGTAGGTTAATGGGGTTTAAAGTCTGTCTACTACACGAGGGTCATTAAGACTGGTTGGTAGGTTAATGGGGTTTTAAAGTCTAATCTACTACACGAGGGTCATTAAGACTGGTTGGTTGGTTAATGGAGTTTAAAGTCTATCTACTACACGAGGGTCATTAAGGCTGGTTGGTTGGTTAATGGAGTTTAAAGTCTATCTACTACACGAGGGTCATTAAGACTGGTAGGTTGGTTAATGGGGTTTAAAGTCTATCTACTACACGAGGGTCATTAAGGCTGGTTGGTTGGTTAATGGGGTTTAAAGTCTATCTACTACACGAGGGTCATTAAGGTTGGTAGGTTGGTTAATGGGGTTTAAAGTCTATCTACTACACGAGGGTCATTAAGGCTGGTTGGTTGGTTAATGGAGTTTAAAGTCTATCTACTACACGAGGGTCATTAAGGCTGGTTGGTTGGTTAATGGAGTTTAAAGTCTATCTACTACACGAGGGTCATTAAGACTGGTAGGTTGGTTAATGGGGTTTAAAGTCTATCTACTACACGAGGGTCATTAAGGCTGGTTGGTTGGTTAATGGGGTTTAAAGTCTATCTACTACACGAGGGTCATTAAGGCTGGTAGGTTGGTTAATGGGGTTTAAAGTCTATCTACTACACGAGGGTGATTAAGGCTGGTTGGTTGGTTAATGGAGTTTAAAGTCTATCTACTACACGAGGGTCATTAAGACTGGTAGGTTGGTTAATGGGGTTTAAAGTCTATCTACTACACGAGGGTCATTAAGGCTGGTAGGTTGGTTAATGGGGTTTAAAGTCTATCTACTACACGAGGGGTCATTAAGGCTGGTAGGTTGGTTAATGGGTTTAAAGTCTATCTACTACACGAGGGTCATTAAGGCTGGTAGGTTGGTTAATGGGGTTTAAAGTCTATCTACTACACGAGGGTCATTAAGGCTGGTAGGTTGGTTAATGGGGTTTAAAGTCTATCTACTACACGAGGGTCATTAAGACTGGTTGGTTGGTTAATGGAGTTTAAAGTCTATCTACTACACGAGGGTCATTAAGGCTGGTTGGTTGGTTAATGGGGTTTAAAGTCTGTCTACTACACGAGGGTCATTAAGACTGGTTGGTTGGTTAATGGAGTTTAAAGTCTGTCTACTACACGAGGGTCATTAAATGCTCTGTATATTAAAAGTCTTTCTGCACGCACATTTAAATGTCATTCACCTCTGTACAAACTTAGCATCATACTGAAATGAAGAATCATAATGTCTTAGAAAATCAGTTTCGTCTCTGAGTAACAACCTGGTTGATCAGGCCCTGATCCACCTCGAGGCCTGGTCATAGACCGGGCCCCGGGGGCGTTGACCCCCGGGGCACTCTCCAGGTATACTCTGTGACGTAATTCGTTGTGTAGTTCTCTTTCTAAACTGATTCGTGTTGATGCTGGTCTTTGATAGTCAGGAAACTCTGTTGTTGTTGTGTAATGGGCTTCTGAGGCCTAGTTACCTGTGGTGTGACCACAGGTAGTGTAACCACAGGTAGTGTGACCACAGGTAGTGTGACCACAGGTAGTGTGACCACAGGTAGTGTGACCACAGGTAGTGTGACCACAGGTAGTGTGACCACAGGTAGTGTGACCACAGGTAGTGTGACCACAGGTAGTGTAACCACAGGTAGTGTAACCACAGGTAGTGTGACCACAGGTAGTGTGACCACAGGTAGTGTGACCACAGGTAGTGTGACCATAGGTAGTGTGACCACAGGTAGTGTGACCACAGGTAGTGTGACCACAGGTAGTGTGACCATAGGTAGTGTAACCACAGGTAGTGTGACCACAGGTAGTGTGACCACAGGTAGTGTGACCACAGGTAGTGTAACCACAGGTAGTGTGACCACAGGTAGTGTGACCACAGGTAGTGTGACCACAGGTAGTGTAACCACAGGTAGTGTAACCACAGGTAGTGTGACCAC